GAGACTTTGATCTGTGCTTTGATTTGCTCTTTCCCTGTTGGCTAGTCCGGCCTCTCACAAAGAGCCCACTTGCCTGTTCATCTCTATCTCCCTCAATGTGCCTCCGCACATCACTAGAGTTAAGTGCCTGTCGCACTTGCTCAAGCTTGATAGGCTCCTTGCTATACATCATTGAATTCTCAATATCATGATATCCTGAAGTCAATGAAAATAGCAAAGCACATGCAAGCGTCTCCTCCTCCTTTTTAATTCCTGCAATCTGTAAGTCCATGACAAGTTTATTGAACGCATATAAATGATCTTATAACGAAGTACCTGACCCCATATTAAATGTGTGAAGACGTCGTTATAACAACATCCTTGTTGTCACTGATCGGTCTTGGTATAGCCCTTCTAGCTTTTTTCATAACTGTTTGGCCGTCTCTTCGGTACCCGTACTCACTTCACAAAGCACATTAGGTGCAAGGGATAGTTGGATTGCACTCAATGCATCCCCTTCAATCTTCTCCTTGTCGGGAGTTGATATATCCTTAGGATACTTTCCGTCAATAGCATGGATTGAAACTTCTCTCCGCAGTAACGCCATCATCTGGATCTTCCAGATATTGAAGTTGTTGTGTCCACTGAATCTATCAATTTCAAACTTCATGGAACTCATCTTTGCTTGTTCTTCCTCCTTGGATCGTTAAAGAATCTTGTTGCTCTAATACCAATTGTTAGCGGAAACGTAAAAGAAAGAACACAAGATTTAACGTGGTTCGGATCAAAATAATCCTACGTCCACCAGAGAACAATTGCCTTTTTAATATTAACAAAGGAAGGGGAGAGTTCCCAATTACACTTAAGAGAATTTCTCTCTTAACTCTCTACTCACTACAATGTGTTGTATTATTTTTGGGATGGTTTCTACAAATGAAGGAGTGCATCTATTTATAGAGGTAAAGACCTCCTCTTGATGTCATTGGTGACATCAAACTACCTCCTCTTGATGTCATGGGTGACATCAAAGGAGGAAGCTTCCTCCTAGCATCCACACCAACTCTTTCCACCAACTCTTCCAATTGGCATGCCATTGTTGACTAAACATAAACCAACACCTTCATTCTTCTTTGTCATTCTTACGAGTATGTTGGAGCTCCCAAACTCGATCCGGTGGTGCATTTTGTCCATTAACAGGATTTCTCTATGATTTATTAAAGTAGAGGAAAACTATTTAAGTACATAATTTGACCTAAAAAAGAATGATAAATATATGAAATATTATTGTGCTAAATGAATTTGTACGGTTGATTCCTCCACTACAGCAAATGACTTTGAGCCACATGAGTGTTTAGTTATTTGTTTTCCCCTGTTTATTTTGTTTCGCTGACTCACAGCCTGAAATTATATCCATAAATTAAGAACCAAAATTGAAACAGTAATTTGTCACATATTTATATTACCAAGTTACCTTGAGTTCTGGACTTCCAAAATGTCCTAACAAAAATACCCAATCCTCAGGTGTAACATCACTTGGCCTATGAGATAATCTCTCTTCATCAGTAGCATAGCGAGAGTATTCAACATGCAATCGAGTCTTCCATGTTCTTAAAAGCCTTTTCATAGTATTGACCACAAGAGCTTGCAATACATGCTCTCGAACTCCGGTAGCTTCAAATTTATCCTAAATGCAAATACGAAAAGCTTTTGAGAGTAAATAAAACGTGTGATAAAAAGTCGATATAACTTTATTAACAAATCATTATCTTAACCTTCAACCACATCGCATCTCCATGTTTTGTGATTATTTCTTGCCAATCACCATCTCTAAATAAGATAGTGCTACACATAATCAAACCACAATAGTTAAAAATGTCCCTAGACCCGGGACCTACAGCTCTCTCAATGTCATCTGGAATGACAATAGAAATTTTACTACCATGCTTAGTTTTCATATCTACAAGTAAAGATTTGTATTTCCCTCTTCCTTTATTGGATTTGTTGCAAGAAGCTGCGCGCAAAAGAATATATATTTAACAATCATATACTAAGGCTGTCATGAATATTACTTGTAGTGATCAGTTTACAGAACTATTTAACAAACATTCAAGAGAGACCATCTAATTCTGCTTGAATTGAACTAAAGTCATCAAACTAATTTGATTTTCTTTCATATATACAAGCTGCACCAGTAAAAGAGTTAATTCTGGTAAAAAGAGCCTCTTACTGTAAGAATAAAGACAGAGTTTAGAAGAAATAAATATTATAATGAACAGATAGTTCCCCTATTTGCATGCTGAAATCTTTTTCCTCCAATATGTATAGTCAACAGTGAACAGAGAATGATTATTCAATCTTTAAGCTAAGTGAATCCAGACAACCAAACTATTTGCTGATGGACTATGAAGTCTTAAACATAACAGTGAACAAGCAAATGAAATAAAAAGGAACATGAAATTACTACTTTAACATGGAAAAACTAAGTCATGAACAGGTTCACCATGCCAAAAAAGCAAAGAAGAAAGAAAGGAAGTATTTTCCATTTAACCAAAAGCATTAATCACAATAGAAGAAGCTATAACTCTAAATTTCTTATATCACAAAAAGAATAGTACATTTTTGTCTTAATAATTTTACAAGGAAAGTATTTTATCTACTGTCAGTGCGTGGTGTTAAGGTTTCAGCAACCACACAAATTTTAGACATCTTCAATTATATTCCATCTCTTGGCACATTAGACAAATTAATAGTATATGTTTGTCTTAAGATGTTCACCAGTATTGCAAAAAATACTAAACAAATTGAGTTGTTAATTAGTTAATAGAAAGATTGAGAGAACTAACCCGCAACACTTTCAGTCTCTACAGTGGGATGCACACTTTCGATAACAATTCTTGATGACTGTGATCCATTAGGTTCTTGACAAGGTTGACTTGAATGTCTCGTCTTTGAAGGTGCTAATATGTGTACCCGAGATGCTTGTGGTTGAGAAGAGCGCTCAAGCCTTGTCAATGGTGCATTAGCCCTGTAGGATGACGTCGCTGTAGAACTGTCATGAACTCCAATACTGCCACCTGCACGACCACCTCCACCTCCACCTCGTGCATCTCTACCTCGTCCAAATCCTACCATTTCCTACAATATCTCAAAATAAAAAATATGAAAACAAAAATCAAAGTTCTGGTGAAGATTCATGTCTGTGTAGTAAAGGATCGTGCTATTATTGAGATTTCTATCATTCTTAAACTCAACAAGTGTTGTATATGTACATTTAGAAGCTTACCAAAGCTATAAAATTCAAGTCATCATCACATATAAAAGTAAAAGGGATATTCTAGTATATTAAAGGTAGTAATTAAGATGAAGGTTCATTGAATCACAGAATAATAAGGGGGATAAAGAAGCTACAGATAAGAATCCATAGAAAGAAATACGAAAGCTATCTATTTGGCAACTCAATATCCCCATCATCTATGTCGGTGTCCTCTCCATCGTTATCATCAAGTAACTCTTCATCGCTTGTTTCACTATAATACAGATCCATGTGATCGTCTTTAATGAAACCATCGTCCTCATTATGCACAGTTGTCTGAGCTTCAGTCGCTTGGTTATAATCAATAATTTGTGGTTCAACATCATCCATATTTAAGGACACCACAATATCAATTTCTTGAGCATGAACGCGCGATGTATTAATTTCAACTTGCTCTTGTTGATAAGCATCTTCACTCGGTAATACTTCATCTTCAATTTCTGTAGAATTAATATCCTTTTCAGGCATATTAAAAAGGTCACGAGGATTTGTCTTCACAACAACAAGCCAATCTTTATTAGACATATCGTCCACATAGAAAAATTGTTCACACTGAGATGCCAACACAAATAGCTCATTTGTATTCAAGGCACAACGAGTATTCACACTTATGAAGCCATATTTGTCAATCTTATATCCTTTTCCTAAGTGAGCCACATCCCACCAATGACACCTGAAGAGGTAAACTTTCTTATTTCACACATAAGACAACTCGTAAATGTCCTTTAATATACCGTAATACTCCTTTGTTGAGTCTGAATCATCTCCTCTAACAAGAATTCCACAATTCTGTATTTTTCTTCTTGACTCGATATCTCTTGTCTAAAATCTAAATCCATTCACCATTAATGTGGAATATCGAAGCACTAGATCTCTAAGACCGAGTGCTAAGCTTATGAGATCATCATTTGCATGTCCTTGTGCAGATAGTTGTAAGATCTACAAAAGACAAACAGTACTCTCGTAATCAATAACATATGTGATAATAACATTAATATTCAACATGTCATTTTATTCATCGCTTACATGTGCACGAAACCAATCTATAAAGTCATTGTTATGTCTTTCATCCCCTATTCCACTTTGTCTTTCCATCGCTCTAGTGTGTTCCCTACATTTTAATAATGGGTTAGTTATTAAAACGTAATTGAAATATCCTAATACAAAATTATCTTGAAGTTCTCCAGAAACTTACTCAAGGAACGGCCAAGCTTCTTCACAATTTTGAAGCACATATATGGATGCTTGGTTTAACTCATCACGAGAGAGCGGGGCGGGATCTGAACCACCTTTTGTTCGTACACTATTTTTAAAGATATATATCTCACCATGTGATACAGATTCATCATCATTCCTAGCTGGCCTATTAACTTGGTTGAGATATTCTTTAAGTTGTGAGCAAAATGTGAGGCTTTCTTCTGCCAAATAATCTTCTGCAATTGAGCCTTCAGGACGAGCATAGTTACGAACATACGACTTAAGTATTCCCAAATACTTGTATACAAATGACTAGTTAAAAACAATGTGACATTCTGAAATTATAATATTGAAATTTAAAGGATAACATGTTACCTTTCAAAAGGGTACATCCACCGATATTGAACTGCTCCACCTAGTTTTGCCTCTCTTGGAAAATGAATGGGCAAATGAACCATGACATCGAAAAACGCAGGAGGAAAAACCATTTGGAACTTGCACAATGTGATAGCAATTTCAGCCTCTAGGATATCAAGATCTTCAATTGTCAAGCACTTAGAACATAAATTCTTGAAAAAAATTTCTATTTCGATAATTGATTCACTCACTTCCTTAGGCAACACACCATAAATTGTTGATGGAAAAATGTCTTCCAATAATACATGGTGATCATGACTTTTTAATCTATGTATCTTTTTCTCTTCAACCTTGACACACCTAGAAATATTAGATGAAAAGGCATCAGGAACCTTCAAATTAGCTAAGAAATTACACACCTTCAGCTTCTCTTCTGGGGATAATGTGTAGCATGCTGATGGTAACAACACATTGTTCCCATCCTGAATTGGATGCAAACCTTGCTTAATACCAAGGTCCACCAAATCATATCTACTTTTTAACGTGTCCTTTGTCTTCCCAACCACATTCATCACAGTTGATAAAACGTTATAGGATATATTTTTTTCTATATGCATCACATCAAGGTTATATCGTAACAAAAGTGTGTTCCAACATGGAAATTCGAAAAAAATACTTTTCTTCGTCCAATTGTAAGCATTATTAGGGGCATTACGCATTCGCTTTTTCCCTTTACCGAAAGTCACATTACCCAACCCTTGTAGTTGCATAAGTACATCATCACCTGTTAAAGGATTAGGTGCAACTCCCTTTTCCACTTTCCCATCAAATAACCTCCTATTTTTGCGCCATGGATGGTGTAATGGAAGGAAGCAATGATGCCCCATATAACACAATTTACTACGTAATGAAATCGGTTGTGTATCTTTATGGCAATAAGGGCATGCAAATTTGCATTTGGTTGACCATCCCAAAAGGTTCCCATAGGCAGGAAAGTCATTAATTGTCCACATAATAGCCACACACATCATAAAGTTAGATTTTGAGTATGCATCATAAGTCTCTGCTCCATCCCATAATTCTTTCAATTCTTCAATCATCGATTGTAAATATACATCTATATCATTGCTTGGACACTTAGGACCTGGAATAAGAAGTGTCATCATGAAATACCCACTCTTCATGCAATCCCAGGGGGTAAATTATATGGAACTAGTACGACTGGCCATATGCTATGGTTGGAACTCATGTTCCCATAAGGCTGGAACCCATCGCTTGCAAAACCTAATCGAATATTTCTTATTTCAGCAGAAAAGCTGGCATGTTTCTCATCAAAAGATTTTCATGCCATTGCATCAGACGGATGTCGCAAGATACCATCATCAACACGTTCCTCCTTATGCCACCTCATCTTTTTTGCTATCTCTCTTGCCATTTATAATCTCCGCAGTCTTGGTTTGATAGGAAAATGTCGCAAGACTTTATGAGCTACTTTCTTGCCTCCATTCTCTTTTGACTTCCATCTAAACTCACCACACTTAGTACATGATTATGCATTGGCATGCTCGCGCCAATATAAGATACAATCATTCTGACATGCATCTATTTTGATGTACCCCAAGCCTAAGTCTCGAAGTACTTTCTTTGCTTCATAGAAAGAATTTGGAACAAATGACTCCACCGGAAGAACTTCTTTAAGGAAGATCAACAAGTCATCCATTGATTTGTTGGTCCAATGATTAAGGCACTTCAAGTGAAGTAGTCTAACCACAAAAGATAACTTTGACATATTTTACAACCAGGATAAAGTTCTGTCTCAGCATCTTCAAGTAATTTGTAGAACTTTTGTGCTTGCAAATTTGGTTCTTCATTGTGGTGTGAAAGATTATTTGCAACAGCTGTATTCGCATATCCATAAGCATTATGAATCATCCCAATAGTATCATGTTCTTCAGCATTATCATCCTCTACTTCATCATTGTTTATCACATCAGAATTTTCAAGTCTTACTAACACCTCTCCGTGCAAGTCCCACACTTTATAACTGTCCCAAAACCCATTGCTCAACAATTGTCTTCTTATTTGGATTTTCAACATGTACCCTGTATTTCTACACCCTTTACAAGGACATCTGATCACAGTGCTCACATTTGATTGACTGTATGCCCAATTAAGAAAGTTTTATTCCTTTAATATACCTTTTATACATTTATTCTTAATATTCAGTCAACTTTTATCCATTGCTATTTTCTACAAAAAAATGCAATCAAAAAATGTATGCACGTCACTAATCAAAACTAACCACGTTATATAAGCAAGAGTTGAACTCATCTACACGAGTACAGATACTAGGATATAAGACTTTTGACACATAGTAAATGAGAACACATTGGATATTCTAAAAACTAATTTAACACCAATATTTGGTCTTATAGAATAACTAACATTAATTCACCTCTAAAGTGCAATAATTTTATGTTACTATAGGTTGCCGATTCTGGCCTTAAATCATTTTAAGCCATGAGAACTTTGCATTAATGTTGCTTAAAAAGTATCTTCTCATTACCCTTTATCATAGCAAATATAATGAACTCTGAAGCTTATTTTTAAGACAGTGAAATTAAAATTCATTTTCAAATCACACAACAAGCAACAGGAATGAACTTGAACTAATCAATATGAAAAGCAGAAACCAAATCAACAACTATATCATTTGAAAGAGATGTATTTTTAATCAAAATAATCCAAAACCTTCCAAACTCTGTATGATACAAGGAACTAAATTATATAGGAAATCAAATAAGTTGACAATAACATGTGATCGATCTCCAAACAATTATCCCAAATTCTAAGGGACAAAACTTAATCTTTAAAGGCAAAGTGTATCGTCGATACTAAATCAACGTATAATATTGGACATAAACCATATAATAGGTCATGTGTGAAGGGGGAAATTAAATTATAGCTATTACAGTTTACCAAACTATTAAATATAATATCTAATGCTATGGATTAAATTGTGCAGATTTCTTTCTCACTAATTATGCAAATTTATATTTGTTCTACTATTGGACATAAACCAGTAAGCAAGGTGATTATTTGCCGCAACTAATATATAAATTTTCCTAAAAATAAATGTAAATATGAAGTATAAGCATGTCAAAATCAGGTTTAACAGAAAAGTCAATTTGATCAATTGGAAGTATCCATCAAAATCAACTCAACCAATTTAATAGAAAACCATAACATCATGATTTTTGGAGTACTCCGAGCGAATTCACATAAAACACAAAGAGGGAAAAACATATTGCCTGGAGAAATCTGAGCAGAAACAGAAATTTGATCTGAGCAGAGAAGTTTTTTCGCTGGTTTACTTTTGAGAGAATTATAGTTGCACCATAGAACTTCTTTCCTTAGTTTTTTTTTTTTATTTGGAAGAATTGTAGTTGGAAAAGAGATCTTTTTTCCTTATTGAAACTGTTATGAAATAAAAGCAATTTAGTAAAACATGAATAAGAAATAAAAGCAATTTAGTAAAACATGAACAAGAAATAGAGATAGAGAGAAGTAAGAGATTTTTTTCTTCAATTGTGTGTATTTTTCTATCTATTACAAGGCCTTTATATAGGCATGAAAAGTGAAGAAAATATGTCATGGAATATGTCATTGAACATAGAAAATATGTCATTGAATATGTCATTAACCATTTGAGAGAAAGATCATGGAGGAAGAGTAGACATCCACCATATTTTGATTTTTATCATAACACTCCCCCTTGGATGTCTATAAATAATGTACCTCGTTAAAACCTTATTAGAAAAAAAAACCCTATGGAAAAAAAAATCCTAATGAAAGAAAAAGAGTACACATATTTAGAAATACGACTTTTGGTTGCCTCGTTAAAAACCTTGCAAGGAAAACCGAATGGGACAAAACCTTGTAAGGAAAAAAGAGTACAACGCGTATTAACTCCCCCTGATGAGATCATCAGTTCACAT